GCCTGTGGCAATCGGAAACAGTCTTAAAAAGTATGAGTGGCTGATTCGAAATTGTTCTTTACTGTTATTGCACTAAAACTAGTTATGAAAGAAATCCTGACAATCTGTTGAAGATGGTACGCATGGGATAATTTTTGCCAGTCTCATTTCCACTCCTTTTGAAACAGAATATAACCTAGATGATTCTGTCTTTTTAGAAACTCAGCTCATTATTTCATGCATAGCACTAAAATTTAAAGAGTTTAGCTATTCATATTTTCGTTGCTCAAAAAACATCCTTTCTTCGCGATTCCATTCTGATGGATTACCAGACTTAGTCAAAGTAGAGATGTCAATTTTATCGGTTACTACAACTAGTTTTTTGTGTCTCCAGTATGTCCAAGTTGGCTCACTCTTCTCAGAATTTTCATACAAAAATCCAGAGACACTCTCTGGCTCTGGTTATGGCGACATATAGATGTTTAAGTTCAGAATAGTCATCCAGAATGGAGAGAATTACCCGCCACTAAATACGATGTATGCTGAGCAACTTTAATAAATAATTATATTATGCTTAAAAGCAAATTTCAAATTACCATACATGTAAAAGTGCAGGTGAATCGGTAAAAAAATCATACAAAAATACATCATTTAACTCCATCCCTTTAGCCTCAAATATAGTTAAAACTAATCCAATATCGCTGTTTAAATCCTTTACATGCTGTTTAGCCTTTTCGTTACGTACTATAATGACTTGATCAGCTCCAAATTTAATAAATACATTTGCATTATCGATACCGTTTCTATAGGCAAACAGATCTTTTGTTCGACATTTCTCAAAGATAATAGGTTGTGAACCACCTATTTCACCAATATCAGGTGACAGTTTGTCGATAGAATTAGGAAAAAATTCCTTAAGGAAGTGAATTACTGATGATGCCAGTTAAAAAATCCCTCTATGGGAACGGTAATTAATTTTAAGTTCAAATTTTTCTGGTTTTAAGGGATTGTATCAATTGTTTTCAGTCAGGACTCTTTTGCGATCCCAATTGTAAATTAATGAGTATAATTCTGTTTTGGTTATTAAAAATTAAAATTATAGAACGGAAATATAATTGCTTAATCTTGGAGAACAAAATAATGCATACCCTGAAATCAGAAAGTAGATCCTCAGGCAATACATTGTGTCACATCTTCTGCTATAAAAAAGCTGTCAGCACAGTCAAAAAATTTCAAAATAAGCATGTAATCTATAATCTGGTTATCCTGACATTCATCGATATACATTTCATTTATATGCGACCCACCAAAATGTTCTCATTTTGGTTGCACATAATATAGATAAAGTTCTGTAAAAAAGGAATAGAAAATCTATTAAGTCCGATCCAAAACTAAAAAAAAAATGATAATTCAACTTTACCAGTCCACTGAATCAAAGTCATAATTTCACGCCTTCTTCTTCTCATATCGTTCAAATAAATTATAAATTACATCACAATTGTGAGTAAATGCTAGGTATTTCCTAGTACTAATAGACTTGTATTCTTCTCTTGATAGGTAGTCTACCTTAATATTCGTGCCCTTCAGATTATTTATTGAAAAACTTCATAATATTAAAATCGCGCATTTTATATGCGTATGGTTGATTTATAATTACATATTTTGATAATAGGGAACTCTGAGTAGACCAGCTCATAATCCAGATTATTTCTAATATGATGGTTGAAATGACGCCAATACTTTTTTTTGAAAAGATCGTAGTCAACAAAGGTAGTATACGAAGCTTTTGATATGTTTGTAAAAGGAGACCTAAAGTGAAGCATATCCTCGTCATCTTCATTTTCACTATTTGCATTGTGCTCTTGTTTTTCTTTGTGATCAATGTTTGAGTGTCAATACCGTAGGTTTCGCAAAGCATTTCAAAAAATTTTTCGTAGGTAATAAATAATAGAAAAATGCTTGTTTGTCAGCAGACAGAATGAATTCGGAATTTCACCTAGAGTTTTCTTCTTATCGCCTTCCTCGTGCATGATATGTTCATTAAGTATTTTATTATTATATTCTTTCTTTCACTCAATAAATTGAGCTTTTGTAATCTTCTCGCCTGCAAGCTCTGTCGATTTCTGCAATTGGTTGAAGTACTTTTTTACTCGTAAACATAGAATGGGTTTAACGTAATAAATATTTGTCTTTTGTAAAAATACTCGTCATTACCATGGGAAGATGGTGTCTTGTAAAGTTAGCTTTTCAGATATGAAACAAACTGTCTAAATATGATACATGTAGTCTTGCTGATTCTTAATATTAGACATTTAGAAAAAATAAGAAAGTAGGTATTTTTCTTTAGTAAAATTGATGGTTAACTAACCTGATCATCCAAAAACGATCGCTGACTTAGGATGGTTAATTATATCATACTCGGTCTTAGATACTTGAAAAGCGAAATCAGAGCCACTTAAGATAAGTGACTTGAACAAATCCTGAGAGAAAAATTATTAACTTTATAGAATTTATTCGTTGAATAATTATTATGTATATTACAGCATACTTTATTCTTGATATTGGAAAAAATTTATTTGTAACAAACATTTTATGAACTTCTAATAGCAACTCGTTATCTAACTCTTCGTTGGTGAACCTTGTTACCTCAACCTCATAATCTTCAAAATATTCTGGTAAAGTGATATTGTCTTGGTCTTTAATTTTGCAAAGATTAATATGTTTGGAAGTGTAGACCTTATAAACTTTTTCAAGGGTATTTAATGTTTTGTCAATCTGTTCTTGACTTGCAGTTATGGCCCAAACCTTTATAAACAAATATTTATGGATAGAAAACCCATACTCAACTTGTCAGATAATTTTCAAGTTGTTACCAGAGAGCTTCACTTTGTAGACGGAAATATCAATAGGTAACTCTATACATTGGAAACTATACTTTTTCCATTTTCTGAATGATATTTGCCTAAGTTTTTCATGATAATTTCAATAGTGAAAGGTAACTCAATTTGCATGTCTTTGAAGTCTTCATTATACAGCATGTCCTGTATGTCTTTGATCGTGCTTTCGCTGAGAAGAATTTCCTAAGGTTCAAGTTACTCTGAATCATTGAATTCGAATAGAAGGTGTCCATTTGCTTGGTTTTTTTTCTTCATATATAATGATTATATATTGTTAATAATAAATATAAAATAATTCTATTATTTTTTTTTTGATTTTTTTTTGAACTTTTTTTTTTTTAAAAAAAAAAAAAAAGTCTAAAGAACCTAGAAATAGTAAATTTGTGGTCTTTATATATTTTTATTTATTTTATTTATTTAAAGAAAAAAAGCATAACCCGAAAAAGAGACGATCTTCAATTTCCAGAAAAACTCAGTTATACTTTTATACATGGTCTGCCGCAGCATAAATTTGGTGATGCGAATGATAATTTCGGTTCTCCTAATTATGAAAATATTCAAAACATTTGAATTAGTTAATTGCTGAATATTTCAAGATTAAATCAAATTAGATTTACAATGCACTATTAAAAGATGATATTACGTGTTTTTTCACAATGCGACGTATTTTAATTATTACATTATTTACCTTGTAAGTAGTGTCAAAGAAAATTTTATACATAGGAGACGTTCTCCTTTTACGTCTTCTCTTTTATTTTTTAATGTTTTTATGTCGACTACTTAATTTACTTTAAGTTTCTTTCGTTAGATTATTTTAAGTTATATAAGATTTCAAATTCCCTAAAAGTACAATAATGATATAGTATTCACTTCAGAGTGGAATAACATGATGTGGCGATTTTTTAATGAATTCAAAAAAAATTTAACTGGCCCTAAAGAAAAAGAATTAATTTCTTAACTTTTGAAGTAGTCAACAGTCACATATAATATGTGAATAATTAATATCAAAATTGATTATAGCGAGACTTATTTCTTTTATTTTTGAATTATTGCTATTACAAAATTTAACCAAAATTGCATAAATAAATAACTATATATTTCAACTTAGAACTAAATATAATATTTAGAATATAAATCAAAAGATCAGATCGAGAGGGTCAAAATGTTAATAAATTTCCATCACATATGATTAAAATACTTATTATCTCATTTTATAGTTAAGAAAATGAATTGTTTATATGTAGCAATGATCTCTAATTATTTTAATTTAACAAATATTATAGCCAGAGTATATGCATCAGTTACATCTCTTCACCAAGAAATCCAAGAAACTAAATTATAAAAGCAAAATGTTTTAAAAAGCAAATGCAATAAAAAAAGATATGTCCCAATTCAAGATTATTCTGATATTATGAGTTTCTTTACGGATCTCTCCACGTATAGTTTTTATAAATTGTGTTGATTCCTTGGTACCTTAAAGAGAAGCATCTGGATTAAAATTTATAATTTTTCTATTAGAATTAAAATGCAAAACAATTTGAAAAAAAAATTATATAATTACTAATAACAAAGTTTTAGTTATCATCATCATGGGTTCTATCATCAGTCATATTTAAAAAATGCTGCGCTTGAGAGTTCTCACTCATCATAATCCTTTCGTTATCATCATAATTGAATGATACTGCGCTTGAGAATTCTTACCTATTCTAACTTTTTTGTTATCATAATAACGACCCACTTGAGAATTCAAATGTAAATCTGAAAATGATATTCAGTTTTCATGACATAATTTCTTCTGAGATGAACCGTAAAGATCAAGGATATCGGACCCCACTCAGAAGTTGATTTATCTAATATTTCTACAGAACACATATCAACTTTTCGTTTTAACTTGAAATTTTAAGCAAACTTATAATTTTGTCAGATAAAATCCTCACAAAATGAAATAAATCAACTGATACTTATCTTCCTTTCCCAGATCAATTCTAGTTGGGCATCTTCAATATACCGCTATAAATATTTATCTGTTTTTTCATTTTTTGATCTGCAATAAAATTATAATATTGAGTATGCATTATGAAAGACAGGGTGGGCAACTCTATGTTGAAGTGTTGATCATAAAATCTAATGTGAAGGCTAGGAATGACACTGCATCCATATGTATTTATCACGGGAACAATATCCGCTCAGAGCACTTATGCTCTTTCTTTATAGAACACATACCTTTTCAATTATTTTTTCATCTATTACCATTTTTTGTACGCCGGATATAGGATAACTCCACGACTTGTCACAGCTCTCTGCGATTAATAACGCTTTATTATTAGATAAAAACTCATTTTGGGACCATTTTTTTGGACGCTTTCCTTTGAGTAATCCTTTGATTCTAATAATATTTATAAAAATGATGAAATTGAAAATACCAATATACATCAAACTATCTCGAAAATCCCTTTTAACCATTTCATTATTATCATAATTTTAAATAAATACTTTCGTGACAGGATATCAATGGAAAGGTTAGATTATTCAATAATTGATATGCCAGATAATTCAGTATTAATAATATAAGGATAGCAATACTCTATTTAGATACATTTATTTTTTGAAAGATAATCATGACATGAGGTGAGCTGAAAGTATTTTATATCATTTGAACATAGTGAATCTAAATTTATTAATATATATAATTGTTTATTTGTTACTCTTATTTTCCTTTTCACTACAGACCAGGTAGTTTTAGTAGCAGGTAGTTTGAGTTGACCTTCAAGAGATAATATTTCCTATCACTTATGGCTTTGGTAAGAATCTGCTTTTCCTGGTTATGGAATTGCTATAAACCTTCCCTTATACTGTAGATCAATCAAACTTTAGAGGCTGTTTCTCACTTTCAGAGCATCTCGCAAATCTCTGTCTGCAATTGATCATGTCTGTTATTTTGATTTTACCGCATTTCTTTTCGCTCTTTAGTCATGTTATATGTATTTTATAGTTGTTCTCATACAGTAGCGATCATAAGTATCTGACCGCCTGAGATCGTCCAAAATTATTATATAACTACCCCTTAAATTTTCCATAAATATAATGTAACATAATACATGATCACCTGTAAATTTATAAGTATCAATGATACAAAAAAAAAATTTAGATGATCATCAAACTTTTGCTTGAAAAATGGAACTTTCTTTAGAGAAACGATA